TATTAGTCCTTTCCTAGATTGAGCAATATGTTCTGCATGCAAGTCAAAAGACTTGGATAGAGCCAATGGCTGTGAACCATGCTGACCCTCTACTTAGGTATATTACGTCTTCCGTATTCCATTACTGGCCCTTAAGTGTATCCATCAAATACCTTTGATGTAATATTCTAGTGTTTTATGTGTGTAGGATATTTACATTTAATAAACCATCTGGTCCCAAACAAGCCTGTCTGTTGGTGTTTAGTTTTTATTTCAGGACAGCCCTCTTGAGCAGGTTTTTCATATATCATTATTTTGGCTGCTGTGCACAATGTTCTCGTTCACAAAAAAACAGTCATCAAAACTGTTACTGTCTTACATATAAATTACGTGTCAAACCCAGTTTAAAATGCAGAAAAAAAACTACACTTTAGCAAAGATTCATAGAGGTATTGTTGACCTTAGATGTAAAATGTCTGATAAATTTTTTTTCTACTCTTTGAAGTAGACAGAAGGATAAAAGAAAAAAATAAATTAATTTCACCAAAGTTATTTGTTTTTGAACGAAAACACTTCTTGAACAGCCATGAACATTTCTTAACTCACCAAGAGCCTTAATCCTTAGAGTTTTCATGAGTCGAGGATAATGTTTCGAGGAACTTACGCTATACAATGTACAATTGAACAGTACCATGGTAAATAGGGTTTTGGTCATATGGACATCACTTTAACTCATATCTTACAAGTGAAAAAATGAAACTTTCCTTGTCTGCAATGTCATGCTAAGAGTTTTTTAAATTTCATTTGATCATTCAAACTCACCTATTCAATGTATCAATTCCATTGAGGATCTTCAGATGTCCAGCATTGTTCCAGTCCTGATAATGTTGTCCATATTGCCTATTGACAGAATATTAACTTTATTAGAGAACCTCCATCATTAAAATGCTCCTCATGCACTGAAAAATGCACTGAAAAGACTCTCAGCCTACAAACAAAAGTGTTCTGACTCAGCATTGCAAACAAGGCCAAAATAAAAGATATCTCAAGGAACTTTGTCAAGAGTGCTATGTACCAGATTAAAGCATCTGGAATCCACCTCATTTTATTTCACTTCACTTTAATCTTATAAGTTTTGATAGTGAACTGCATGCCCACAAACTGTCAAGGAAAGCCAACAAAATACCAGGGAGAACCTGCAATGCCTACTAAATTGACTCAGGTCATCATGATACTTGAATACACTTTGTAGCTCTTTGAAAATATCCATTGGACAAGAAGTAATCTTTTCACATCATTAAAGATGAACAAAACAGAATAGTCACCAAGTGTCCATATTAATCCCAAGAGGAGCTAATTACAAGACTGAAACTAGGCTGTAACCTGTTTATAACCCTTGCCACCCTCACATCAGTATGCATGATTCTAACAAACCACTAATATATCAAATACAGTTTCTGGAGGCATATTGTTCAGCTCTATCAACCATGTTAATTTTTTCCTCAAATTTTACCCTTTCACTCCCAAGATTTAATTTATTTAATAATTCTCCTTACTGTCTGCCATATAGATCTTATGATATTGGTACAGAGAATTCAATATTGGTTCAACCAATAATCTCCTTGTTGATAATTTTCTTTTTTCTTATCACCTGCCTGCTTGATATTATTTTGACTTTGTAAGGAAAAATTCTTCCTTCGTCACTCATGAAGTTGAAGGGTTAATTGTTTTCCCAAGATGCCATAGGAAAAATTTAAACATTTACATGTTGTAGCTTTGCACTTTCTCTTGTTTGTTGCTCCTGCCAGATTTTACATACTGACTTCAGATATTAAGTGAAAAGTTTGTGCAAAAATGTTTTGGTTGTGATTCATGCACTTTGGTTTTACTGCTGAATAAGTGATGCCTATTGATTGGAAAACAGATCACCCTGCAAATAACCCAGGCCTGAAATTTGACACAGAGTATTATCCTTTTAACCTCTAAGAGTGACCAGCTTATAGTGTTGCCAAACAAATGCTCCTAATGTCAGGGTAATTTGGTATTATCAACTGAGTTGATAACATAAATTGGCCACCAGAAAGAGTTTAAAAGCTGATGCTAGCCCCTTTGTCAGAGTGAATGACAGATGGCTAAGGCTTGAAACATCAGCTTTAAAACTCTCTACAGTGGCCAAATAATGTTACCAATTCAGTTGATAATACCAAATTACCTTGTTACACTCTCCCACTGATGCAGCATCACAGTTTCTTTGGAGACTTCCCCTCTTTACTAATTAATTTGTCTCCTTATGTCAATTCACCATAAGAAATGTATACAGAACAGTATGGAGAATATGCATACCGATATTAGTGTGGATAGGGTTAAACAAGTAAAATTAGAGTTGCCCTAAATGGAATTATATTGTGACAAGTGTTGAAAGCTGACAATTTCTGCTGAAATGTCCAGATGTTCAGGATTGACGATGAAATTTAATAAAACAATCATTCCATTGGTGCTTGTTGGATATAAGATTGGTTATATCCAACTTGGTGCTGAGCAGCTCAGTAGTCATTTACCATCTCATATCCAATGTGTGCTCATGGAATAATTGTTATGTACCTAACAGATTCCAGGCCCAGTTTTTCAAAGGCTGATTAGCCCTAATCTCAGGTTAGATTTTAATCAGGATTTCTTTATTCCTTTGTCCATAGCCTTTTCGGGATAATTTCTTCTATTCTTTTTAGAGCATCCATTCATCATATAGTGGACAAAAAAAGTGAACTGAATTTTCTTTTTAAGCTTTCAGATCTGAAATCCAGTTTCACACTAACACGAACTTATTTTAACCCAATTATGAACAACCTGGCCCGAGACAACAAAAAGGTTTGGGAAATACACAGTATCAAAAAAAATTGATAGACCTCTACAGATCATCTTCAAATTATTTTTTTTCCTATTACGAGTTGGCAATAGACTCAAAGAAAATCTAGGTCTAATGACTTGATTAAGTAAATAAATGCTAACTTCATAATATTTTATTCATCAATATCTTCAATATGGCAATATAAGCTTTAAAAGAATCTCGCATCACTGATCAACGGATACGTTCTCGTCGATAGAGTAAGATTTTCTTCCAAGCCATGTCGATAACTCAAAAGCAAATTTTTCATAGCATATAAGTTAGATTTAAAACGCTCCACATGGATAGGATTAAAAATAAAGGTTTGATCACCTTTTAGATAGATCTAAGTAAATAAATATTAACTTCTTAATATTTTATCCATCAATATCATCAATATAGCCATATAAGCTTTAAAAGAATCTCTATTGAGACCATCGATAACTCAGTAGCAGGTCTCAGCGCAACCAGGGGAAGATGATCAAGACAGCCATTTTGAATTTTTACTGTCACGTGACCAACCAACCCTCCCTCCCTCCCTCCCTCCCCTGAAAATATATGAGACCACGGGTTTCGGTGAAGTACTGAGACATTCCATGTCAAACCTTAAATTACAACCATCGGGGCGTTGGTTTTTAAAAGGCTTTTATTAAGTTCCATCAAAGCTTAATCATTTAATCTTCTCTTGATCCTGTGGGGTTGATGTTTATGTCAAAGAACTAAAGTGTATCTCGGCGTCGCGATGTCGCAATCGATTTATGTTAGGAGCTGTCCTCTAATAACAGGGTGATTTAAGTTATATCTACAGGAAGGTCGCGCAAAAAAAAAAAAGAAGGAAAGAAGAAGCAGAACGGCTAAAAATTCATTTGTAAGACAAACTGCTGCTAAGTCTTCACTCTACGTAGCACCGGACGCATTTTATTTGTTGATGAAACTTGTGCGTTGCATTTTCCGTGGATGAATTGGATAAGAAGGAGCTCCCGAAGCAACGGTATTGTAGATTGTGTCCTGGACTTTACTTTTCCTTCCAGTTTAGAGAATAAACTGACAGCAATAGCATGAACTTGCTGATTAGTAACTACATATAAGATTTTCTTTACAAGAAAAACAACCACAGTGAACCCAGCGCCCGGGGTTTTTAACCAATTCAATATTTTGATTGACAGTTGTATGACTACTTATGACCTTGGCGAACACGTGGTGTTGCTAGTAGTTTCCTTCGGTCTGTCAAAAACACATTCAATTTAAGTCTATTCAAACGTACTTTTGTACTTCAGGTAAGATGAAAATCGACCATGAGCTGACATTGCACCAACAGTTATCAATCACGAGCTTTATGTTCGATCTTACAGCTAGTTCTACGTTGAAAATATTCCGTAAGACTCAACTCTAATTCTGTTCGCTACGATTTTACAGATTGTAATATGGAGACCCAAGCATACGACCTTGTTTGTACAGAGAACAGAGACTTTCTCTACGAAAGAGAAGGTATGCCTGGTATAAATCCAAATTTTGTATACATGAATCAAGAGGTTCACACTTTGAAAATGGCGAGTGAAACAAGAATCGTTCCAGACACGGACAAGAGAGCTGCTCCGAAAAAACCTAGGAAAAGAAATTCAGACAAAGATAGACTGAGGACAGAAGCAGAACAGACAGCATATAAGAAACTTAAAGATTATTCCGTCCCTAGAGGATCAAAGGAGGACGACAAAATTACAGACAGTCAGAGAGGCCGTTGTGTATATTCAGAAACTCCAAGAGACCTTGACTGGAATCCCCCAGATCGGAGCGAAAGATGGCAAACATTGAACAAGGTTCAAGTTTAAAATATTTCTTTAACAACTTTGTAAACAAAGTTAAATCATTAAGATTATTTGATATTTGTAAAGCAATTATCCTATTAATGGTGTAAAGTTGTAATATGCATGTTATTCTTTGAGTGACCTTCAGTTACCCTCAGATGTCCGTAAGATTATGTTGCGCCAACACGCATTAACAATTTAACCAGGGAAAAAGACTTTTGAGTTCAAAGCGAAGTTAAAAGGGCATGGTTCTTACTCTTCAGTCAGTACTTACTTAAAAATTACTTTGTACACGGATTACCACAACACAAGCTAAAAGCAGATATACATAGTCTTTAGAGTTGACAGGAGTTACTCCTAACGCAATATGTTGGAAAAAATGTTAACGTGTGAAAATCAAAGAGATTCCGCAAAACGAGGATGGGAACGGCGGACTGCAAACGGCGGTCTGAGAATGGTGGACGGAACAACAAAATTAAAATAAAAAATAAAGTATCAAAAATGACGTCATTATAAGCAGAAACATCTTCGCATCACTGTTAGAAATTTGTTGGAAAAGTTCGGAAAGAGTTGAAAATTGTTTAAGTGTTCTAAATTTTATACTCCGCACACTCAAGTACTTAATTCTGCATCTGTCTATGCATACAAACTTTCCAAGCTTTTTCAGACTGATTTCTAACAGAAATCCCGAAGACATTTCAACTTATGATGACCTAGTTTTAAATAATTCATCTCTGATGTTGTCTCTGTTTTCCACCGTCCGCCATCCGCCGTCCTCGTTCGATAAACTTGTAAACGGTTTGCCAGTACTTATAACTTAATTCCAAATTCTTTTCTATTTTTCCCTTCTTGTGCTACGGTTTTCCCATTGGCAGAAAACATTCTTCAAGTAGATTTTCCACGAGAGTGGCATTTTCGAGAAGATTTACAAACAAAATACTTTATCTAATTTAGTTTCAATTCTTAATTCTAGTAAAGTGGCCTTGCGTGACATCCAACAAATTTAGTAGGGGCGGCTTTAATTTCCCAGCTTATTCCAGTTTAATTGCATTCACATTTTTCCTAAAAATGGGCAAACTCAAAGCCAAGTTGGCTTTAAGAATCATAGCTATTAAATGCTTTGTTTTTCAAACAGAACGGTGTTGTTGAGTAGTTCTGTATATCCTTGTACACTACAGTGGTAAACCTTTCCCGTTTCTTGACTCTATATCAAAAAAATCTTAAAAGGCTTTTGGTGGAAATTCCAAATAACAGTAACAGCCAACGAAAGATATCCTTTAAAAATCATCAGTTTTGTAGAGTATCCTAACGTCAAAAAAAATTGAACAAAATCTATTTTACCAACTTGCCCCACCCATACTTACAGATCGCCATTTGTTCAATGAAGAGTGACAAGGTATGTTGCGTGACAACAGCTTTCCATAAATTTGTATGCAGCACCACAAACTCTCCTTCCATTACGAGTTTTCAACAACAGTGCCAAATTCGAAATGAATATTCCTCATGAGTTAAACTTTCCGTTTTAAGGTGTTATAAGTTTTCTGTTACAAGCTTCAAAGAAGTTAAATTAGGTTATTTATTTAATAGTTTAAATAAGCACAAATTTATTGTCTTGATTACTAAAGATAATTGAAAAAAAAAACGAGATACATGAGAGTCCATGCATTTTTATCTGAAACTCATCGTTCGCTTACAAACGTCTCGCAAACTTTGAAGAAGCTTTACTGCTTACTTCAAGTAAGCTTCACGCTAAATAGACGTCAGTTGAAATTATACGTTTTCTCTGTTATCACTACAATCAAAAGCAACAGGATGTCATACGAACCATTTTTAAGTTGTTCAATACTTACGGATTTAATTAGAAGAAAGGGAAACAACAGTTCAGCACTATTGCGTCTTCTATCTTGGTTGCATCCTTTAAAAGAGTAATGGTAGAATTCATTGCGAAACTTTCATGCTGTTTAAAAGCAACCCGAGAACAAGTTATTTATACCACCACTAAACGACAAGGAATAAGAAGGAACGCACATACCTTGTTTTAGCAGTCGCTTAAAGATCATCTAAATATGAGGCCGGAAAGGGAGCGCGAATGAAAGAAAACGCCAGTTGCGAGGATTCCTTCCCAGTGTGCACTTGAAGATATCGCTCCGAGATTATTATTCGGAATACATTATTATTCGGAACATATTATTATTCGGAAGTACCGAATAATAACACAACGGTGTGTTGCTCAGTTCAGTTGCTGTGCTGACTCCCTCCATCCCTCAGGTTGGCGCCAATAGTAATAATAATTTCCCACGGTCGCCTTTGAGAAAAAATTTTGAAAGAACTGGATCGAAAACCGTTGTTCAATCGAATGTTCTGGTAATCCTTACATCCTGGTCTCATGAAAGGAACGAAGTTTTAGACGAGCTCTTAGAGAATTCCAAAAAGTGCGCTATTTTAAGACTTGTGTATGCACGTGGGTTACTGAGCTCTTTCCTAAATGGCTTGTCTAACTGCACGGGCTTTTAGCGCGCACTATTCATTACAAAGCACATTTTTCCGTGGTAAACTCAAACGATGGAATTAAAACAGAAGCAAGTATTGATTATGTATGGATACTTGGAAACCCTGAATACCTGCGATCAGTGGCCAATCGATTAAATATTACAAAATCGATTTTATTTCGTGTTTATCGCAGAATTTGTGGAGCGATTGCCAACAATGTTTCCGGTCAATATATGAAGTACCTACTTGTTTGAAATTCAGCGCCGCTGGGAAAAATGATTAATTTCGGATCCTTCGCCCAAAGGAACGCGTTGGATCAGTGATCCAATGATCCGTCTTAAGATCACGAAGATCAGTGATCCGATGAATCCTTGTCCACAGTGGATTTGATAGATCACTGATCTGAAAATGGATTTGCTCAAAAGGAACGCCACAGATCAGAAATCCTGATGTGCACCCTTGACAGAAGTAAGGGTGCACAGAAATCTAGTTACACACAAGACTACATCTCTCTTCCATTCCCCTTTCCTTTCCTTTCCTTTCTCCCACTTCACTTTACGGCCACTCACTTCTTAAGTCGACGGGATGAAACAATGCTTACAATTTCTTCTAAACTAATTTCTTCATGTTAGCGCCATCTTTTAACAGTCGTGTTTGCATAACGAAACTCTTATTTTTTAATTCACTTCCTGAATTTATCTATCTTAAATAAACCTCTGAAACGAATAAATAAAATTTTCAGGAAAGTAGCACTTTGTTTAATAAGTGTTCTGTACATGTGGATACAAGGCATTTAAAAACGAACAAATGTTGCATGTATCTGTCGCTGAGTAAAATTTCACAGACTAAGATAAATACAAATTTTTTTTTGGTCGGTCTTTGTCTCTTGAATTGAGCAACCATCAATTTAAACAATAGTCTTCAAATTAACCTTTTGTCTGACCTCCGATCAGCCAATCACAGTCCATTATCATTGACACCACATTGAAATATTATTATAAATTATTCAACTGTGTGCGGGTGAATACCAGTGAAGGCTTGAAGGCGCTATGGAGATGCACTCTACCATCAGTCATTATCATTTATCGGGAAAAAACACGAAAATATATTCAAAATAGAGGACTTTCTTCACAGGTTGGGCAGACACTTGGCTCTTTCGACTGGTTTGTTAGAAAAAGAGGTCTATGATTCTTGCCTTTAGATATCGCAACGGGTTTTTTTCTGTTCGTGTCTACCGTCGATAAAATCCTCATAGTTTTTATTCACTACTGCTCATAAACCACGAGACGATTCAGAAAATCTTAAAGAGAAGCCTAATGTGGATGGGATTTACATCGACGGCGGCAAAAACTCTTAAGAATTATATTAGCGCTGACCCAACCATTTTCTGAGGATCAGCCCCGACAGCTCTGCGAAAAGCGATGCAAATTACGCCCAAAGAAAGAACACCTAATACAGTAACTCCATAATGGAAGATCACTATAGACGAAACGTGCATCATGGCCTTTGATCATCAACAAAAATCTCTGCCTACTTCGAACCATGCGAATACTGCTAATTTTTATTCGAACCATAAAACTTTGAACAATGCACCGAACACTCCTAGGCATCTTCAACACGCCGCACATAATCAAAATTTTCAAGCACCACCTTCATATTATCATTACCCAGACAGAAGCTACGGCCCACGATTTGGACTCATACGAGGGTACCACAAATATTTGTACGACCCGAGACCTCAGCAGGAGCCTTGTTGCGAATGTCCCCCTTCACGCGCAAGGAAAACACAATCGCCAGACGGCTGCAACTGGGGTGTTGCGTTTGGCTGTATTTTGCTAATCATTGGAGTCCTAGCAATTCTTATGGGATTTTTGGTTCCGCAGAAACCCTCCATAGCTAGAAACACACATTTAACATCGGAGGAAAGACATGAATTGAGCCAAATTAATCTCTTCATAGACGTTTTTGTGATAACAGGACTTGCAGTCCTCTCGATGGGGGGTTTGCTCATTTCTGTTGCCTTGTTGCTGCCTTTACTGAGACGAAGGACCGAACCTTTCCACGACGAGCCGATTAAATACTTCGGCAGCGAGGTTTATGTGAAGTCCGAACAATTGCCGATGTCAAAGTCGGGGATGCCGACAATAAACTTAGGATTTCACAAGGATATTGTGCCTGGAAACGTCGCTCTGCGTAAAATTCAACCAGAAAGTGTGAAAAGCGAACCTGTCGACTTAATTACCCAGGCAAATTCCCCGTAACTCTGAAAAGCACTTTGATGAGACATAAAATCTGAATGATTAATACAATCGTTTTATTTACTTATGAGTTTTGATTACTTTTACATGCTCTATTCAAGAATACAAATCAGTCAAACAGGGACGAGGTACTACGGGTCTATTTAGCTTAAGCATATGACTTCATGGGATTGGCGCCAGTGCACAGCTTCCGTATTACAGAAAGTTATGATGAGACTTAACTTAGAGAGGACACGATCGTGAAATTTTAACTGGTGGAGCATAAGAAATCAAACAACCCAGACATCGAAAGATGTGGAGACCAAAAGACAGTATTTTATCATGTACTGTTCAAAGGTTACAAGTTAAATGAATTTTTCCTTAAAAAGGAACTAGACTGTTGAACACTTTTTGAGGCTGCGCCTCATATGGTCTTTACTACATTTGACGTTATCTGTTATCTACAGTAGAACCCCGCTAACTCGAACTCCCAAGGGAAACAAAAAATGGTTCGAACTACCGAGGGTTCGAGTTAGCTGATAGTAAAGGACTGAAAAAATGGGTTAAGGGCAACCGGATCGATCTGAGTTGGCGGGGTTCCACTGTATAACTGAACAAACGCATAGTAACATGGTATCTATTTGACAAAAAGTATTTAATACAATAAAATCATACGACCGTAAATCCCTATTAGTGCGAGGCACACTGACAGGAGTCGGTTACGGTTCACTGTGACACGATAAGGTACACTATAATCACCTGACCGGCACTAAACGGCGTTGTGCATTGTGAATTGTTTTCGAGCGCTTGACAATTTTAACGGTTTGATTGATCGATTGGTTTCCTTATACAAATCAACGTTAAGCCACAAAGGTATTCCTTGTTTTTATAGTCTAAAAAAATTGTTCAGGTGCAAAAAGGGCGCAATTTTATGGTTAAAATGAGCTCACCAGCCTCTTTTGGCCTATTGGCAATAACAGTGATGACTCCGTGCTTATTTGCTAGACAACCACATTTACAAAACGAAATGACTGTAAGATTTCATGCCTTCCATTGGACTCAGTGCTGAACCATATTGTGAATTTCTGACAAATCGGTCCACACGATTCAGTGGAGAGACTTAATCAATAAATGCACATTCCTTGAAACAAAATGACAACAAATTTTTTTAGCTCACCTCAGAGCATATTTGATCGGTAAGCTAATCGTCAGTAACTGGGTTCTCACATTAGAATGAGTAAATTTTTTTTTTCACATATGAGGAAAAAGGTTATATTAAGAGATTAATGGTTGTTTCCAAGAGATCCCTATTTTCTCTTGTTGAAAAACTATTACAGTAAATTCGATTTGCAGCAGTCATTTCATTGATTGATTGATTCCTTTTCATCATGGTTTGCGCATCTTAAAGATTCAGTTTAGGAGTTTTCGAGTTTTCATTGCTATCATTTAAATTTTTCTCCATAAGTAACAACACTTTTACTTAATTTTCTGATTGATGCCTTCCTCTTCCAAATCCAGCTTTCCACTTCCCATGGGGCTGTTCGAATCGATGACCTGTTCGACTGGCAACACTTCCTGAAAGATGAACAGCGCAGTATAAATTATGAATAACCATGGTGCAATTAAAAAGGATAAAATTTTTCTCTTATCAAGCAAAATGGCAACCTTTTTACACAAATTTACGAGGTACAGTTATTGCCTTTTATACTAAACTGAACTAAAGCTTGACATGCGTAACTGTGTTTCAGCAGCGTCTAAACTTAACTTTAATTTTTGATGGTCTGCTCGCAATCTCGAGAAAAGAAGAGAGAGGGAATTTTTAGATACAGATGGGGCGCGAATAAAAGACGTTTCTTATTCATACTGATTCATAAAGAATGTTGATATTCAAATCAGGTAACTTGAGTTATAAATGTTGAAGTTCTGACCCACAAACTAAGTTTTGAAATATAAGCTATAAATCAGAAAACGTTTCCAAGTCAACAAAGGGTGCTTTTAAGGCACCTCTGCGGTGTCATTGGAAATCTCCTTCCAAGGTTAGACAAAAGCTACATTTGCAATGCTGCTTCGTATGGATTAGTTAACTAGTTAAAAAATCAAACACTGTCAAAACACTATATTTACGTACTTGGGAATTCAGTCTCGGGGAACTTCTCTGGATACCGGTTTAGAAATTCTCGAAGTTGGTCTTTGTTTCCCATCTTGTCAATGGTCAGATTCAGTAATTTTCCCATTAACAGTCCCTCCTGCATTACTTTTATCGCCCGCTCTACGTAATTCATCTTCTCGAGCAAGAGGGCCAGTGAAGTCTTTATAGAGACTTTCCAAGTATGGTCCTCTTCTAACTCTCGTTCAGCAATTTGCTCTGCTTTCGAGAGAAGATTCATTGCCTCTTCAAAGTTTTCACTTTTCATGTGACAAATTCCAAAATTCTTTAGCGTCAAGATGCTCTCTTTGCTTTTACCCACTCCTAAGACGTCGAACATTTCCAAAGCAGCTTTATAATAATAAAGACAGGTTTCAAAGTCGACTTCGGACTTTCCAGCAAGAAAGAAGTAAAGGTCTCCAGTGGCCTTCAGGGTTTCAGCAGTCATAAAATGTTTCCCGAGGCTCTTTTGGAAGAGTTTCAACGCTTCATTGAACAGTTCTATGGCTTCATCGAACTGCTTGCTGCGCTTTGAAATAATTCCTGAAAGGAGGAGAGTTGCTGCTCTTTCCGGATGATCATGAAGCTGTTCACGGGATATTTTCAAAGCAATTGCAGTCGCCTCTTCAATCCGTTTGTTCTCTTTAATGTCTTTTTTATATGAAAGGAAGCGAGCATTGCTGTTGTGAAAATAGACTTCTGATAGCGGTTTTGTCGCGAATGCAGCGTCACTCACCAAACAAATTTGTTCCGCTTTATCCATGACTTCTTTGTACTTCTCTTGTTCTCCTTTTTTCCTGTATTCATGACCAAGAAGACACAAAAGATCTACCACATACACTGGTTGGATTCCAGAGTCAAATGTTTTCAATAATCTTTCAAGGATCTCAGTGTAGAACCTTGGATGAAGACATCTTTCCAAATACATGCATTTCTGCGGAAAACTGTCCAGAAAGAGTTCACAGCCATTCACGATCTCTGGATCTTGTTCTTCCCTACCTCGAGTGTAAATTTGAAGAAAATATTCGAAGTTGTACTTGTCTTCCTGAAATGATACGAGGGAATCCTTGCAGGTGTTCTTACCCCAGTAACTATTAGCAGTATACGCAAGGCGCAACATGAAGTGTACACAAGCCAGTTTTTCGCCCATTGCCAAAATTTTTTCATACTTGTCTCGACCAGTCTTCTTTGCGTATGACTGAATGAGCGGATGCATCTGATATCTGCGCGAATAGGGCTTCTCCACAAGAGATCTGTTTTTTAAGGAGCGCAGGATGGAGATAGGCAAAGCCCCGGAGATTGAACATTCCGTCTTCGTCACAGCCTGGACTGCATCAATATCAAATGGACCTTGGAACAAAGATAGGAGAATGAAAGTCTCTTGTTCGGGTTTCTTCAAAAGGTCAAACGAAGTCTTGATGGCCTTTTCAACAAATCTTTGGTCGTCCTCTAAAACCGCTAATGGTTCCCTTTCAAGGCTTTCTACGAGCGTTTCTTCAGAATAGTCTGATAGCAAGGATCCAACGATGCAAAGTGCTAGAGGGACGCAGCCACATAGATTTTTGGCGATGTAATCTGCCCTGGAAAGGTTCTGCGGAGCATCTCCATAGACTTTCATCCTAGAAATAAGGAGATTTCTTGCCTGTTCGGCGGACAAAGGGCCCAATCTGACTTCGCAAGACTGCAGGTCGGGATTCTCAAATGTTTTCCTTGCAGTTATGACAAATGCCACCTTTTGCCTCGATAA